ATTTTGGAAAAACATGCAAGATACTGATCGAAATCTTAACTTTTTAGCATTACAATCATTATGCACATTCGCAACTTCAGTGCCGTCGGAAAGGTTGTTTTCTAAAGCCGGGCTTATTATTAAGAAAAAACGAGCAAGTTTGAGCACATACAAAAACTATTAATATTAAATTCTATGAATTTTGGAGATCTTTATAAATTAGCATTACTTTTTTTTTTTTTTTTGTAAGAGCTGCTTATACTCACGTACTGTACCAATTGCAATAACAAATGTCAATAAAACTTTTAAGAGTTAACTTTCGTTTTCTTTTTATTTCTGATGTAATCGGAAAAGACTGAAAATTTAATTAAACATCGGTCCATCGATGTCCGAAAACCGTCATCGATGTTTTTTACCATCGATTGTTGACATCGATCATCGATGTTTCACCCATCGCACACCACTATCAGTTACTGCTTTTTCCAGTGTTAGTCCTTGAGCTTTGTGTATGCTCAATTAGTATACGACCGAAGTTGGAAATTGTCTTCTTGTGCAATCCATATTATTATCCTTCCATTTTGCTTACGTAGGAAGAGTAGGAAATGCTTCATTTTTTATGGTTGTCCCACATACTTATCGAATTTTACCATTATTGTCATTGGTAACGAAGGCGACTTCTTTCCTTCTCTGTATAGAACGTCAACAACCGTTCCAAGAGATTCATTTACTAGGCCAGCATCGATCTACAGATTTTTCTCAGCATTCTGTGATAACCAATAGATATAAAATATAGATGCTGATAACATTGCCTTTCTTCTTGTCATTAATATCTCCCATTTTTGCTGCTTCGGCTTGCCGATTGCAATACTATCTAACATATTTCTGGACATTGTTGGCTTGTATTTTGCCTCATAGGTGTAGTTAATTTAAGCGTTTTTTGTAATGTATAAAAGGAGTTTGTCCTCGAGAAGAAAACATGTCTGTAGAGTTTGCAAAGAGAAGTTTATCTTTCGCAGGAGACAACTGCCGGACATCTCCGAAGTAGTAAACAAATATGCCTTAAAACGTCTGGTGGTTGTTCCCCTTTGCTTCTATTGTGAATTTTCGACATTAGTTTTGACCCGACATAGAATATTTATCGAAAATTAGGTATCGAATATTATTTAATGCAACCTGAAAGTTCCGAAGCGATTATGCAACTAGTTCTTCAAAAGAACGAATTGGAATGCTTTGAAAACTGCGAATTGTTTTCCCATTCATGTTGATGGCTGCAGCACCTATTGGAGCAAGTATTGATAGTTTAATGCTATCATTTCCTGAGATTTTGATTACCATTTTTAATGTGGCCTTAATTAATGTGCTTTTTATAGTTTCTGCTTTTCAAATTCTAGCGCAAAATTAGTCTCACTACTACTTGACTACTTTTGTTGTTTGTTTTTGCTTCAACGCAGTGGGGTTTCAGAAATTAAGGAGTTTTTGTTTAACTCTAAGACTATTCTGCTTGGACCATCTTCGAGGAAGGCCGAATGCTTGCTTTATTACTTTATTTTGAAATTGAATTTGCATATTAGGAAGCGAGAATAGAAAGCTGCAAAAGTTATTTTAGTAAGATATCTTTATGAGATCTTTGATAAGTAAGCTCATTTTTCGTAATTATTTGTTTATTCAGTTAAAGCTCGTTTGGGTCGGTCAAGATCGTAGTCATTTGCTTTATTTATATTTATTGTCCTGCACATATAAGAAGGTAATAAAATTGAATAGGCAAGATCGAAAAATATGAAAAATGTTTGCATTATTCATTTCTACTCAATGTTTATACATAATGCAGGGTTGAATAATGCCGGGACGATTTTTATTCGACATTGTTTTATCGGCGACGTTAATAAATGGGTTTAAATGCTTATTTTATTCTATATAATGTTATCTAATAATTTAATTTTATCGATTTAAATTAATATAAAAAATAAGTAGGCCCGTATGGACTTTTTAAAAGATGAAGTTAAACATTAAAGATTAGAAATATAAATCATAGCATTGTAATTGAACCAAAATTTAATTTTAGGCGCATTTAAAAAACGGCTCAAATTTACATAAATAATAAATTTCGTTGTTAAATGATAAGTTTATTACTACGTTATACGCTGTATTAACGTTTCTGAAGTTACATTTAATTAATGTGATGATAAAGAATAGACAATCGAATTAATCGGTAACGATTCCATTTTATACGTTTGATTCGAAAAAATGATACAAGATGATTTCCTCTATTATCAGGCATTGTTGATGACGTAGTAAGAAACTGTCCAAAGAAAATTTTACGTAGCTCCTGAAGCATAATTGTTAATCGCGTAATTGAAAATATGGGAAAATAAGCTAAGTATATTACTTTTTCACATCATTTACATGGATCTTGATAACGCGCTACTTTCATCAATTATTGATTTTCACATTAAAAAATTATTCGTAAATATCTCACATTTAAATGAATTTTAAAAAATCTAAAAATAAATTTTATTTCGAGTTTTGACGTTATTTTCGACTTTGGCAATAAGAAAATATTTATAACCGGATCAAATTACCTATCGAAATTTTGATTCGTCAAACCATAAAATATTTAATATTTCCAGTGGAATAGCTTTATCTCTTTCCTTCTCAGCAATATTAAATTAATTATAATATATGAACACACCTGAATTCTACTTGCAAAGTTTTTTTCTATTTATTCAAACGTTTTCAGCCTATTTGGATTGGCCATCCTCAGGTTTTCTTTTATCGTTCCAAAATGGAACCATTCGTTCGAATTTTATTTTGATTTGAATTTTTGAAATAAGTTAACAACTTTTTGTATATACATAAATAAACAAAATAAATAAAATAAAATATGTCACTACACGTGCTACACACTATCAAAAAAATTAAATAAATTTTTACATGCGTCTAAATTATAAAATAATAACTCCTCATTTTACTTTTGTATATCTCTATTTTTTCGATTTCCATCGCGATAGACGGTGAGTGCACCGTTCTTATGATCTTCGCCTCATCCCATTTAACTATTGCTCCGTTCTCCTGTGCCATGCTATCCAATATCGTGCTATTGAGTCCTTTATTCACACTGTATTTGTGCTCTTTTATACGCACTGCAAGGTTTCTTCTGGTCATCCCTACATATTCTTTATCGACTCCTATTTGTTGGTTTTCATACGGGATAGTGTACACCCCCCCGCTTGCTTTTCCATTCTTTCATGGAAAAAATAGAGATATACAAAAGTAAAATGAGGAACCGCTGTTTAAATGAAAAGAATGCAAATACATTACCAACAGCATGGAAATACAAAATAGAAAAATGTATGGGTTTCAATAATCCATAAAATAGTAACTGGAGGTTACAAGAAGTTATTATATTATAATTTAGACACATGTAAAAATTTATTTAATTTTTTTGATAATGTGTAGCACGTGTAGTGACATATTTTATTTTATTTTATTTTGTTTATTATTACGAAGTAATGCATTTTATATTTGAACGCAGAGGTAAAATTCTTTAAAAAGAAAAATAAAAGTAATTAAAGAAAATATTTATGCAAATGACCTAAAATTATAATATTTAAAAAATTGATGCTGGAATTCTTTTTTAACTTTTCGACCGTAAATGAGAAAAATTAAGATAAATTCTGGTATAGTTTTTCTATTCCGGCGATTTTTATATCGGCTGTTTGTTGCATTTCGAGCGTTTGTAAGTGGTTTGGATTAATTATTATATAGAAAATTAGGCCAGCTTTTTTTATATCCCATTACGAATGTCTTTTTTTTTGCTTCAAATTGTGATTTTAAATTATAAGTAATTTCTGAGCATTGAGTAACAAAAATACATTTTTTATACGCAGTGATTTCTGCTAAATGTAAATATTCTCAGTCAGAAATTAGTATTTTATGACAAAAATGACAACTCGTGCCACCAACTACTAACGACGATCGATTAAACAAGTAATAATAATATCATATAAAAATAGAAAGAGAATATTTTCTGTGGTTAATTCTTTAAAAATTTTTTTATTCGACTGGCAGAAATTTAATGGCTTCTTTATTTTTAATGTAGCTTTTGTTTAAATCCGCAAATAACTTTAGAAATCCTTTACGAGATTAGAAAATTCGTTGAGGGAAGATAATGGTTCGAATCTATCGAATTTATTGCTCCATTAATCGCGATATCTTTCGAAGTTCGCAGTTTTTCACTCGTTATTTTTACGATAATTTTTTGGAATCCGCTTCGAATTTATTTATAAATTTTTTAAAATATTTCCCAACATATTGTTGATTTTCTATTTTGCCTACGCATGTTTATTATACATACAATGAACCTACTTGGAAATCTGTGAATGTTCAATGTTACTTTTATTGTTTCGTGGATAGAGAATTATATATGACTTAAACGTTCGTAAAATTTAAAAATATTTATTAATTTTAAACGTATCATAAAAAGTAAATACGAATAACAGTTTTACATTATATTAATACATAATGAAAAAGATATTTTTACACTCAATTTAAGATTTTAGATTGTTATTTTTGATATAGTTTTTAATGCAAATTACTCTTAGTAAATAATAATAAAATAACTATTCTCGATTATAATTCACTTTAAAATATTTAAAATTAGTAATATTTACTCGTTATGAATTTGTTATTTATAATTATTTATAAATTATAAATATAATTTATATATATTAAAATAAATTATTTATATATTATAAATATAATTTTATTGTATGAGCCTAAACACGATCTATTGTTAATAATAATACACTAATCAATAACTTCCAGATTTGGAAGGCACCTTAAGTATTGTTTTTTTTATTTTTATTTTCTATTAAAAGTACAATACATATATTTCGATAACATTTATTTTCAAAAATTACAATACACAATTCATGAAAATATCACATTTAAAATAGTAACAGAATTTTTAATACCCAAGCTGGAAAAATAGATTTTGTATAAGTTAAATATATACGAGTTTAAGTTATACTAACTCGATAGCACCTTCTTTTAGCATCGTATTTTTTTTTCTTTTAATTCAAGTAGTCCAATAAAGTCGAAAGCGTTAATAAAATTATAATAAATCTCAAATTATTAACATTTTTCGGATGAGAAGATTTGAGATAAGAAAAATATACATTTATTAATATATGTTAACATATAATATGTATAATATATCGACCGGCATCAACCGATTTCTTTTCTCCATTTCGTACATTTAAGAACGTTAGTCGCGAGGGAAAATACCGATTCAAATATCGAGTGCGAAGATTAATTGAATGTCGCAGTGGAAAAGTTGTATTTAATGTAATGAGGTATGTAAATGAACAGTGGGAGTCGTGACAATGCCGATCGTACTTAACTGGATGATGAAGAGACGTCCGGCTGGAAATTATGAAAATCGGAGGATCCGGTCTGGATTCGATTCCGGATCCACGACCAACAAAAGTGCTACGTATTTTTACACCAGGATAATTCGGAACTTTCGTCATGCTCTGCGGAAAAAGAAATAGGTTCAGCTATTCTGACTTAAGATTTCTAATTGAGAAATTTATGGACTGAAATTATAAACTTTTCCTATATCTGTATTTGCGCAAACTTTAATGCAGTGTTTAATTTCACTCAATGAAAAAGTTGTAAATCTTTAATTTTGTTATGTTCGATACAGAAATCGTTGGGTTATAATTTTACATTACTCGAATGGACACTGGAAGAAACAGAGTTCTCAATCCAATGAAATTTGGCTCGGAAAATTAATGAAATATAAAACGTCGTATATGGGTCTAGATGCCAAATTTGAGATCTTCTTCCAATGTTTCGAATACAGAAATTCATTGTTACAAACTGTTTTAATAGAATAAGAAGATATTAATTGGAAAATTTACAAATAAAACTTTGTAATTTCCACTGTTTTGTGGAAATTGTAAATATAACAATTTATTCTATTATTAAAATAAAGTTTTTACTCGATTATATCGAGAGAGTTCTAATCTGTATTTTTTTTTAAAGTCGTTACGTTCCTATCAAAAAAGTATAACATTTTTATTTGAAATATTTGTAAATGTTGGAAATTATTTTGGTGACGAAACGAATGGAAGAAAATCCTGAAATGTTTTTGTAAGTATCGATTACGTCTTGTGTACATTCTGGATCGGAAAGAAACTAAGTTTTCGATTTTCTCGAAATTTTATCGAGAGTGGGCGTGAAAAGTCAAAAAGTAGATTAAATCCCCATTTTATAGAATATTCCGTGTAGCTGTGTCACATTGTGTGTTGCAAATGTTATTTCTAAGCGGAGTTGGAGAATCATCCGCTTACGAATTCCTTAATGCTTCCGGATTCTTTCACTTTACTAAAAATCTCATTTTTTATTGAATCTTGTTTCCTATTAGTATTCATCTCCTTTAAGGAAAATAACGCAAAATTAGGAATCGAAAATATAATTTACCATCGTACGCAACTATTATGCGAAATGTACTGTATTATTAATTTTCAAATTGTTCTTCAGATAAGCTGTCGCCTAAACTTCCAATAATAGATTGGAGTTTTTGCATAGAAACTACTAGGAAATTCTAAAGTCGAAATTGAAGCGGAAAATATTTTCGAAACCATAATGCCCATACTATTAATATCTTGAAGACTAGAACTACAGTTCATATTTTACGAAATCGATACAAATGACTTTTAGCCTCGGTCTTATTTCCATACAGGATATATAAGAAAGAGATAGCACCTTGTTTCTCTAGATGTCTAAATTTAAATGTAAGAATTTAACATCGAACAATACGAGCCGAGTAGAGTAACGTGTAAGGAAATATTGTACGGTGGTACAGTACAATTAACGTTGAATTTTCTGCTGCAAAGTTCCGTATCTGGAAAAGTTTTACAATACGAATGTAATGTCGTTACTTAATCTTTCTGAATTTTAAAAGCATTATTTGTTTGTCGTTCTGGGAACAATGAACTACGCCTGTATTAATTCACATTAGGCTATATATTTGGATGCGATAGCTAGGCTAATATACTGTATATACGTCTGTGTATGCCTGTTTATAACCTAGGTGTATCTAATTTAAAGGAATCGTTTCAATCGAAAACTTCACTAGCGCAATCTAAGGCTTTTAGGAACAATCGACGAAAAACAATTCCTATTCCGCGATTGATAGAAAACGGATAATTCGAAAATGATCGGATTATCGGAAATGCTGACTGGTTGTCTCGTAACGTCGTTTTGGCAAAAATATTTTTCCATTTTTAATACGAGTAAACAAACGTTTCCGTTAAAAATTCTGATATTTATTATTAGTATTTTATAAGAAAAACATTTCATTTTTTGTTTCAATATTTTTTAAGCTTATGTATTATTAGTCATTTTTATTGCAATAACGTACTTTCACATAATAAGACTTTTTCGATAGATTAATTAATTATGCCAAATTAGTTTACGCCTAAGCGAGTAAAACATTTTATTTTTTAATTTTAAATAGTAATTATTTAGTCGTAATTTTTTTACGATTCGCTCGGACGGAGTCTTTGCCGTCACTTAGAAACATTTTTGCCAAGAGGACGATTCTTCTCGTTGTATTTCGATCTTCCTTATTGGTGCGTATAAAAGCAGTTTATTAACATTGTAAATTATCTTGCGTATGAATTTCAAACAAAATCGGTCTATCGTGGCATTATTGATAGATTTACAACCCTTATTTTTTTTTTTACTTTGACTTAAGAGATGTTTATTCGTAGCAACGGGGTGTCTGCGATACGGCGCTTTTGTAAATCTAAAGTTTACTGCAATAGTAAATTTTGCTGTTAAATGTAATAGTTTTTTTCTTTTTAAAATTTTTAAAGAAAAAGCATCTGGAGATTTTATCTCCAATAAAACACGGAGAAAAAACTCGCCTAATATATATGTCAAAAGGATGCAAACGATTAATTATGTATTCGGTGGCTGTAAGGAGCAGAGGAGGAAGTCAAACTAAAGTCGTTCTGAATTCATTAATCTTAAAAGTATATTAAATAATTAATTGCTCATCGAACTATATTTTATCAGTTTACCTTGGAAAATTTTTCTGCACAAATATTAGGCCGATTCGACTCGATCGTCCTTCACGTGTTTTGCCGCTTTATAAAATATCGTAAACAAGTTTTTCTGTCGCACTAAGCCGATTACGGCTCAATTAACGGACGATAAAAACATAATTTCCAGATTTGCAAAAGCAATATGAAGGTGAATGAAAGATGAATGCTTCGTGATAACTGATTTGTGGAATGATTCTTACCGTTGCCAATGTAAACAGTTGAAAATCGATCGTTTTCGAGATAATCGCGTCATCGAAATCTTTCTTCTCTTGGGTGGCAATGAAAATTTCGACGGCTTTCCATTTATATAATTGAAAAATGCTGATCCTACGTAAAGTTTTGTAACTTTACGCAGAGGAAGAAAGATGTTATTTTGGAAAACTGCTACGGGGTGGTTTCTAAATTCTCTAATTTATCGATTATTTTACGGGAGTCAATGGGAACTAGAAATGATCTAAGATTTAGTTTCGTCTAAGATGACGGTATACTTTACGACTCGATTTCATTTAGGAAAATTCCGAAAAGAACTAATACCGTGGAACTTTTGTGATAATTGTTGTTTTTATAAAACGTGTAAGTTGTCGCACGATTTCGACTTATAGTTTTCTTTTCCCAATAATCTGCTGATGAGTCCTCTGGCTCGATTTCCGGATCCGAAGGAGCCCTTGCTTCTGCGTTTACGGAACGAAGGAAAATCCAACATCTCTTGCTTCTGCAGCGCTTTCAGGCGAATCTGCGAGACCAATCCCACCAATAATTCGTCCACGTTGTGATCGATCCCCGCTGAAGTCTCGATGAACTTGCATTCGTACGAACATGCCACCGCTTTTCCTTCTAAAATAAAATAAGAAATTATCTGAAAACTAGGTCTTACTTTCGCCTCCATTAGAGTTTTATTACGATAAATTTCAAGAAGTATGACGAACAAAGTGGTATTTTTATAAAAATTAAAATATATCCGCCGATAAAAATTCTTATAAACTAATTGATAAATGCCATTCTAAAAACGTATCGGTCGACCGTACGTAATTACGTTAGGTGCTTCGCATCTGCGACAGATAGAGAAAATGAATCGAAAAAAAAAGCTAACCTTCTGTTGTGATGATTCTGGATCGAGCCAGATCGCATTTGTTTCCTACCAAAATGACAGCCTTACTAATTGTATAGCCCAACTCTCTCAATGCGAAGAGAACATCCACAGCCTTTTCGAAGCTTGGTCTGTCTGTCACGGAATATACTACGACGTATGCGTCCACTTCCGTCGACGTAATTTCCGGCATCTGAAAAAGGAAACTTTTAAATAAATGTATTTTAATTATTAACACTAATATTGGATTCGTTATAGATAATCGTATTTCAAATATATTTTTTTTTAAATCCGTAGAACTGCTAAGTTTGTAATTATTTTAAATTATCTTAGCTATAATAAAAATTAGAATGATCAAGTGATGTATAATGAGAAATTGTCCTTTTGCCACGAGGAATACGAACTTCAATCCTATTTTAGTCTTTTCGATTTTCCGTATTTCAGCCCCCTTAGCTTCATCCCTATTGGCTAACTGTTTTGCTTATCGCATCCCGTAATAAATTTAACCGAAGCCGACTATAAACCATACTAGAAATCCGAGGACACGACGAAAATACCATTTCAAGCTGACGAAATTCGACGCGTGTAGAATGTATATATCTGTACTTTTTCGACTGCAGAAATTTGCTTATCTCATTGTTCGTATTCTTATCACCTATCGAGTAGTACACTTTTTGATTCCCTGTTTATATTTAAAAATGATTAATCAGTTTTTAAAAAAGATGCTTTTATTATTATTTAGATTTAAATAAATATATTATCTTACTATTATTCTTTACACAAAATATAAAATGTTTTCTCTTCTTTCCTATTAATTTAATGGATCTAACATTCCCTGCAGCCATTCCTATTTTCCTATCCGAGTCGATATCCTATTAGTTTCTGGTTGATGTTATTTCTGATTCTTAGAGAGTATTGGTAACGTCTGAAGTGTTACTGAACGATCTAAAACGACACTTCGAAGGAAGATCGAACTCCCAGCCTCAATAGTAATGTCTGAGAAGAGAAAGGAAAAAGGAAGGGAAAATATAAAAATCAAAGACGATCCAATAATTTGTATTTTATTGTGTATAAATGTAAAGTTTTGTTTATAATGTAGCCTACTTAAAAACTTTTGTCGATATTTTAAGAAAAAAATTAGTTAGCAAATGATATTTAAAAAGAATTGAAATCGTTTATAGTTGAAATTTTTTCTTTTTTCTTTTTGATTCTTAATTAATGTAATGAAAACGCATACTCCTAAATCATAGTTTCCCACGTCTGGTTATACATAATTATCATTGATATTGATGGATAATAATATTTAAGGACACTTATACTACGACGTCGTTTTTTAAAATCATTTTTATAACGTTAGAATTATTGTTTATCTTCATTGTAATAGAACTTTATTTCGTTGTTTTATTATATTTGGAAAAAAAATGTGTGATGTAGGAAGAGAGGAAGTCAATTATACGTAAATCTAATTAATGTTAATCGATATATCGTATAAATAACTTTATTTATTACATAAATTATTTACACGCTATGTCGACTTTACTATTATTTTCGAATTTAAATGACGTTTTCTGCATTAAAACTTGTATTTGTGCTTCGTACATTTTTCATAGGTCTATACCTCGGACGTCAAAAATTTCAAGTGCTGTCACAATAATGTCATCGATAATGCCTAACATGTGATGACGTCTTCGCACAAATTTCGTATACGACGGCAAGACGCGTAATGCCGAGCAAAATTACAATTGTTTCGTGCGAAAAAGTAAAGCTTGTTTTCCACGCGCAATTATTATTGGTGCCAATTGACCGACGTTAGTTAATTTGTGTGTGAAAACCCAAATTTAAATGGTGCCATTTGACCTGTACAATAATCATAGCTCCAGTAAAAGTACGCACGAGTGTACAGTACTTTTTGGCGCTTATTGTACTTATTGGCATGCCCCAGCGCCAATAATCATTACACGCGGAAACCTAGCTTTTAAGGTATCGGATCCCGTTCCGATCCTATTAAATCTCTGTCAAAAGTAATAATCTGGACTTAATATATAATATTCGCTTACTGTATATAATTAATAATATAATTTCATAATTTTGTATAAATGTATTGTAAAGATTAGTTAGAATTTTTAAAACTAATTATTATAACGGATATTGTACTAATAATTTAATAATGGATTACGGATATTTGAACCTAATAAAAAACATAATTAAGGAAATTACATTCCAAATATCTGTAATTTTATCTCTCGGCTTTTGTTTATTTACATTACTAATGTGGACATTAGAAAATATCTGCTTATTGTCGTAACGGTCGGACGTATAACATTACTGTACTTGTCACTAATACTCAGTATAGTGTAATGTTTGTCTTAGTCTATGCTCATTTTAAGAACTTTTTTTAATTGCACGTTTTTTAAATATTTTGTTCTTTTCTGTTTACTTTCTGAAATACTAAATGATTTAAAGCTGCGTAGATTCAACTCGATAGATAATTTAACACCTTACATTTAGTATCAACTAAAGGCTTTATTTAATACTAAATGTAAGGTGTTATCTATTGAATTGAAAAACTTATAATAATTTACGAAGCATTGCAAATATGGCTTAAATGGCAATGATACTAAATAAAAAGAAAAATTATTCGAAATAATCGTCTTTTTTTCTTTTCATTTGATTTGCAGTATATCCCGTTGTCTATATAGTGAAACACAAGGAGTCCTTCTATCTGTTTCTCGATTTTCCGCTCCTTCTGTTGGTTCTTATTCCATTTCTGCATTACTTTATTATCTGTTTTCTACAGTCTATTTTCTATATACTGTTATTTTTATCTCTATAATTCGGGATATCTATAGAATATTTATTTACTTAATTCGATTTGTTTCATTTACTATTTTTCTCTATGTCGAATTTTGCTGTTTTATCTTAATTACTCCCGCTCTTGTTTCTGTCGATCATTTAGGCCTACTGCTTATCTCGAGATATTTGAATTCCTTAACCCGTTCAATAATTTTCTTATTTAGTTCTAATTTGCATCTAATATTTTTGTTTAGTTATTATTACAGCGCTCGTTATTTCTTTTGATATTTTCATATCGAATGTTTGGCATATTTGGTCGAAAATATACGAGTTTCTGCGAATCTTTTGCTACGAACACGTCATCGTCTGCGTAGTAGATCAAGTCTATATTGATGCTATTTATTTTTTATTTCTTTTATGTTTTTACTATATTTGTATTTTTATTATATTTATTCCCTTTGGAATTACAGAAACTTTATATAGCTTCAATTTTACTTGCCATTACTGATGCTGACTTTAAGTATTTGTTTACTTAGGAGACATATTCCCATTTTATATAAATTTTTCGTTTTCTCGGAATTTTGTCGTACGGAGAGCGAAATCGTCAACTGCAGATTTTATATTGAAGCAATTCGTGTTTTTAGAAAATAAATTGTTATATTAAAAAGAAAAATAATGCTATCAATCATTTTGTGTTAGTCGTAAATTTTATGTTTTGCATATCCCATTTCTTACATACAAAATGATTATTTATTAATTGTTCTCGAATTGTAATTTTTATTAAAATACATTGGCGGGTACCTATTTAATTTACATGGTCAAAATATTGCGTATTTTTACTTTTTCTTACCTTTTTGCCGAGTTTTGTTCGGCTTTTAGAAAAAAAAATCTTGAGTAGTTTAGATCGGTAGTGGTCCTCCGGGTAAAATAAGACCCACCAACTTATTTGACACTTTAGTTATTAATGATAGAATAGGTCTACTTTTGATATAGGCGTATATGAAACACAAAATACGTATTAATTGTGGCACTTCTATCTATGACTTATGCGTAATTTGGCCCGCCAATCGAAAAGTTTGAACACCACTAGATTAGATAGTAAAATATTGTCATCAAATCAGGGAATATATGTTTTAGTTTCTAGTATTATTTGTAAAGCTAATATTAGAAAGTTTTTATTCTTACATACCCCACTTAACGTCACTTTTCTATTCCTGGAAATCAGACTTTCTCAGGGCCGGATTAACTCACTTTGGGGCCCTAGACATTTTCTTCTTCCGGGTCCCCTCCCGGCTCTTTCAATTAATAAATCTTGTTACTATTTATTAAATTTCATACACTGCAGCTGCTTTATAAAAAAACTAGCTGTTACCCGCAACTTCGTCCGCGGAGGTTTTGCAAGCAAACCACATTTACATTTAATATTTCAATAACCATAATAATTGTCATATAACACCTACCGCTGAAGAGAATTGCCCAGAATCAAACGAACTATCTTCAATTTCATCAAGTTTCTGGAACGTTTACAATCGTTCTATAATCGAACCAATATACAATAACAAATTCGAATTTAAAACGGATCGAACATTTTAAAAATCGAAATGTCTGAAATGTTATCAATTTAATACACCTAAATACTCAATGAAGACTAAACGTAGTTGAAAACAAAAAATCGCATCTAAAATAGTAGAGTAGAAGCCGTTTTTCCGGTTAAGCCTTAATCCTCTCCCTCTCCCCCTTGTGGGGGAATTTCGAAAAATCCCTTCTTAGTGTGAATTCCAATGGCATACCCTACTAAAACGCATATAAAAAGAAAAAATCGCATCTAAAATAGTACAGTAGAAGCCGTTTTTTCGGTTAAGCCTTAATCCTCTCCCTCTCCCCCCCGCGGGGGAATTTCGAAAAATCCCTTCTTAGTGTGCGTTTCCATGACAAACCGTAACTGTCTACCAAATTTCACCTCACTAGGTTAAGCGGTTTGCTCTGGGCGATGATGAATCAGTCAGTCAGTCAGTCAGTCAGTCAGTCAGGACAAGCAATTTTATATATTTAGATAAAAGCAAAATTATTTAACAATATTTTACAGGATTTAAGAATACATATCTATATCTATATCTATATCTATATTCTATATATATATATAAAATGGACGTGTGTGTCCCTATATTTCACTTTTTCGCCAAAACTACACATCGCACGTGAATGGTGTTTGTATGTCGTGGTAGCCCCAAGTCTCCATTCGTGCATAGGGGTGGTTGCGTCTCGACAGCTATAAGGGTGCGGGAGATATGAGGCTGAAAGTGGTTGAAAGTGGCTTTCTATTTTGAATGTTTTGTTCGAATTTGTTCGAATTAAATTCGAACATAAAATTCGAATATTGGTTCGATTATAGAACGATTG